CAGAAGGCAGCTGATCGATGTTTCTAACTCTCTATCCCTCTCCCTTCCTCTCTGTAAAAAATCAATAAAATATAAAATTTAAAAAAAAAAGGAAACTGCCCCTGAGGATTTGTCTAGTCTTTGTTCCTTGCATTTTGTAATAGGGGAGAGGGTGGCTACAAAGAAAACTGAATAGGATGTATGTAGGAATGAGCTATTTTTATGATTTTCCAACTTGTGCTTGAGACCTGTACAGAAATTATACCATAGCTCTTTCTCTGTTGTTAAAACATAGGCTGCTTGTGACACTTAATCCCTACTTCTGAATGCTTGCATACCATGCGGAACGTGCTTTGGAAACAAGTTAGCATCCATTAATTTGATTAGCAAGAGGAAATAGCCATTTTTTAAATTTCGCAGTCCCATAAAGTTAACTAAATGGAAATCTCTTAACTTTTCTAGGTTTCAGCATCTTTATCCTGAAAATGAAAATACTAATAACTAAGTTTCTATAAGTTAAAGAAGATCTCTCAAGTAATCACAATCACAGTTAATCAAGTTAAAAGATGGAATAAACCTAAAATAGAAATCGAATGATAAAAATCATCTATCCATCACTTTCACACAAGTGGCATGTATAATGAAGAAAATGCATATCTAGAAATAGAGAGATGTGTTCTGATCCTGGCTCTGCCACTAAATGGTCCTGATATCTTGGCCATTCATTTATTCTCCAAATACTTATACTATACCTATTAGATGCCTGCTACTGATACCACTAAAACTGCTAATAGTGGCTTGACCTTCCTCACAGGCTATTTTTAGGATGGGGTGAAATAATTTATAGGCAAATTCTTAAAGTTAAGAGCTATGAAAGTATGTAGTGATTTTATACTATTATATATTACATGTATATGATATTACTATAGTTTTGTCCAAGCTATATTCTATGGCACAAAACATATTTGCCATGTCAGGTTCAAGAGCTCATGAGACTTCCTGAGCCTCAGTTTCTGCATCCATGAAATGAAGGTGTTGAACTAGATAACTCTGGTATTCCCCCAGCATTTAATAGCTAATTAGATATTCATACTTTTGAGATGAGGAACCTAAAGCTAAGAGAGGTTAAATGATTTGCTCAAGGAACACAGTCAGTACCAGAACAAAACTGGGATTCAGGTTTCCTACTTTTCAAAGGTATCACAACTTGGAAAATTTAAAATAACGGACTTTTCCTTTGTCCAGGCTCTCAGACTATGAAACTTGCTGCTGTCCCTAAATCTTCCATCTCAGCTTGACTATTCACTTGAGATCATCAAGTGATATGGCTGTATTTGTGAAATTAATCACCAAATTGCCATTTCAATCTCCTAAACTTCATTCCAAAAAGATTTGATACTTTTAACTTGGATTCTACTCCTTTATTAAAATGAGAAAGCACTGCCATCTACTGGATGCTGAAGACACTGCTGTTATATTTTTTAGTCTGAGGAAAGAATTCTTACCAATCTAATGCTTTTTGTACTTTGTCAATAACCCAATATTTAGTTATTATGACAGTACAAGTTACATAACAATAAAACTCCAGAAGTTTGGGCTGGAGGTAAAGTAGGCTGAGAGAGAGAGATAGCATCCCCTCAAGATTTTTAATCTCAAAATTATTTTTATGGCCCTGACCCGTTTGGCCCAGTGGATAGAGCGTCAGCCTGCGGACTCAAGGGTCCCAGGTTCGATTCCGGTCAAGGGCATATACCTTGATTGCGGTCACATCCCCAGTAGGGTGTGTGCAGGAAGCAGCTGATCGATGTTTCTCTCTCATCGATGTTTCTAACTCTCTATCCTTCTCCCTTCCTCTCTGTAAAAAAATCAATAAAAATGTATTTTTAAAAAAATTATTTTTATGGTAGTCTTAAATACATCAAGCCTTCACCTGTATCTATTAACAATTTTTTATTGAGCACCCACTGCAGGCCAGGCACTGAAAAAGGGACACAATGTTGACAGAATGATAAGCATTATAAATGTAGCCCCTCCCTCTTATCAAAAGGTTTAGTGCCTAGTGAATAGCAATTCCCATTTATTACTGAACTCCATTCATGTGCCAGGCTTATAATATATACATTATCATCTTTAATCCTCAAAACAGCTTATGATGAGATAGAAATTATCTCCATTTGTAGATGAGGACACAAACACAGACATAGCTCAATTTGTCCAAGATCACTGTCATAGGTGAGCAGCAGAAGTGCCTGAAATTAAACAATTCAATCTGACTGCAAAACCCATATCCTTAATCACTAGGAGTGTGCATTCACCCAGGTAGTTGTCAGCATCCGCCTAAAAGGAAGTCTTTGCCAAAAGGAAATTCAGGCAAAGATAACCTTACATGTCTGTATTAAAGCCACAACTCCTGAACTTGGATCTGAAAGGTCCAGCTTATTGGATAAAAAGCTGGCCCAATAGCCTCTCATTCCACCCTGTCCCACCAGTTGCCAGCCTAGCAGTTAAATCCATCTAGAAAACATCTCAATTGGCCACCTAACTATTTATCAACCACCATCCACCCCAACTTCAAGTTACAGCAATGTTCCTCTTATAGTCCCCAAACATTTGAAAGAGCACCTATTCCTAAGGTCTTTTCAACTGATTTAAGGTTCTGCTGTGATTCACCCGCATTATCTGTAAGACACAAATAATTGATATCAAAATAATTTTTCAAACTAAACCTATCTGTAAATTAGTGCTCTCTGGAATACATGCAGTTTTATCTCAACTAAAACATGCAATTTAATCTCCTTAACTAAAAGAATGTGAATATGTGTCTAATACTTTTGTAGCCCACAGTACCCATCAGATAATAATATATACTACTATATATATTGGTCTCTGACCCTAGTTATTGGCACAGAGCTCCTGAAACCCTTGTAATTCCCCTAAGTCAGTAGTCGGCAAACTCATTAGTCAACAGAGCCAAATATCAACAGTACAACGATTGAAATTTCTTTTGAGAGCCAAATATTTTAAACTTAAACTATATAGGTAGGTACATTGTTATTAACTTAATTAGGGTACTCCTAAGCTGGCCTTTCCTAAAAATGTCCTCAATCTGATTGAGGTACGTTCCCTGAGGTCGACCCCTTCCAACTCTCCCATCCACACTCGTCTTGTATACTTGTTTCGTCTATCTCCTTTCGTTCATCCTCTCTATATGTCCAAACCATCTCAACATACCTTTCTCAATCCTCGACACTACATCTTCTTTCACTCCACAATGTTCCCTGTACGTGCGCGCCCACATGTGGTATTTTGTGGAAGAGCCACACTCAAGGAGCCAAACAGCCACATGTGGCTCGAGAGCGGCGGTTTGCCGACCACTGCCCTAAGTGATAAGTGCCTAAAAAGCATCTTTTGTTCTAATATTTGGCTCCCAATACAGGGCTCCTGATATCCTTGTAAATCTCCTAGGTTAGAGGAGTATCTTTTGTTCTAATGAGGCAATAATGATTGGCTCCTGGATGAGGGCTGGTCACCTGAAGGACCAAGCCACGCTTAGAAGCTTGGAGTTTTCAGCCCTGCCCCCCACTCCATTCTCTTGAGAAGGAAGAAGGGTTGAAAATGGAGTTAATGATCCATCATGCCTACGTGATGAAGCCTCCTTAATGCCCCAAAAGTACAGAGTTCAAGTTGGCCAACACATACACACTGGGATGGCGACGTGCCTCAGCTCCACAGGGACAGAAGCTCTGCGTTCAGGGCCTCCCAGACCTCGCGCTATGCATCTCTTCCATCTGGCTGCTGCTCTGTTTCCTTTATGAAACCCTTTAATAAAGTAACAAATGTGTTTCTATGTGAGCCACTGCAGCAAATTAATCAAACCCAAGGAGGGGTCATTGGAATCTTGGATCTATAGCTGGTTGGTCAGAAGCACAGGTGACAGCCTGGTATTGTAACTGGCATCTGAAGTGGGGGTAGGCAAGGGCAGTCTTGTGGCACTGAGCCCTTACCCTGTGGTAGGTAGTGTGAGAATTGAGTTCAATTGCAGGACATCCAGCTGGTGTCACAGAGAATAAGTTGTTGGTTTAGGAGAAAAACCTCCACACAATGGGTGACCAGAAGTGTCAAAAGCGAAGTGGGAATACTAAAGGAGATACAGAGGGAAGAGAAACACAGTAGCAAAGAACCGGGTTTTTCTCCACAACAGGAGGGAAAGACTGTTGCTTTTCCCTTTCAGTACCTAGTTTAATAATTGGCATACAGCCTGGCCAGGGTGGCTCAATGGTTGAGCATCGACCTAAGCATCAAGAGATAATGGTTCGATTCCCAGTCAGGACATGTGCCCAGGTTGCAGGCTCGATCCCCAGTGTGGGGTGTGCAGGAGGCAGCCAATCAATGATTCTCTCATCATTGATGTTTCTTTCTCTCTCTCTCTCTCTCTCTCTCTCTCTCTCTCTCTCTCCCTCTCCCTCTCCCTTCCTCTCTGAAATCAATAAAAACATATTTCAAAGGGCAAGAGCAAGACAAAGATCAAAGATGTATTAGGCAGGGTCTCCAGAGAAAGGGTTTCCATGTAAGGGAAAGATAGTAGGTACTTAATAAATATAGATTCTCTTCCCTCTCCTTTCTCTAATTGTCTTTAGAAATAGAGATAGCATTGGCTATAATATAACTTGACTCATAGTTTCTTAGATATATTGAAAGTTCTAAACAATATCTGAAACATTTAATAAAATTGTTAATTGCATTTAATCAAAATTCACTGTTCTTTCTTAATCCCCAAAGAACTATATAGAATAAGAAAAAGAAGTTCCATTTCCTTAGAGGAAAATGAAGATAATCTAGATTTAGAAAAGATGAATTGGGGTGGTTATAAAATAAGGTTTTATTTTAAAGGGATTCCTCCTAAGCCAAACTAAACAACAAATTTACAATACTTAAAACATGATTCTGTTTACACCGTGTTTTTCCTTATAAGCCAAGGCATACCCACACTAAACAAAACTAGCACTTGGAAAAGCTCTTACCTTATGTTCATATGGAGCACCATAGTAGCCATCATTCAGCCCAAATATTATTTCATTTTGGTTGCGGGCATGAATCTAAGAGAGGAGGAAAATATACTATTAGTTCCTCTCATTTCAATCAAGTTTTAATATGACTGGAGAATGACAGTTACAACAGGATACTTCAGTGCTGGAAAACAGGCTGGCTCTATCTAACAAGCCTATAGAAAACACATCACTATCATTGGACCAGGTATCAACCAAGGCTTCCCGCTTTAGTCAAAAGCCTCACAAACCATCACATGAGATCATGGGCACCATCATTCACATGTATTTTCCACTAACACTTCTTGAGGTTGTTATGGAGAGACTATTCTTAAAGTACAGGGATTCAGAAGCTGATAGCATGTATTCTCTTATCTCAAAGGAAACACAATCCAGTTAGTCTCTAAGAGCACCTTAAAACATGAAGCCCTAGGAAAAAATAAAAGATGAATATTTTCAAAGAGTGTTTAAAAATAATACCTAATCCCTAAAGTCTTTAAATGTCTGCTTAATTATTGTTTGCATACCATTCTCTTTCAAAAGCAACTGATTTGAGTTTTAGTTAATGCCACCACAAATTAACCTTCACCTGAAAGGTAGGAAGGTTAAAACTTTAGAATTTAAGAATTAAGATAAAAACTGCCATAATAGCATAAAGTATCCAATTGTGAAACATGAAAATAGGTTTAATTACTTGATAAAAGCAGAAATCAGTGGAACTGAAAATAAGAACAATAAAGATATTCAATGAGACAAAATACAGTTTTTTGGAAAAAATAATAAAATTGGTAAATCTCTAGTCAGAATGATCCTAGGAGAAGACAGAAATTACCAACAGCAAGAATAAAAGAAGAAAGAATCACTATAGCCTACGCACATACAACACAAGAATCAACCAATGAAAATATAAATAAGTGGAACAACAAATCAATCCCAGTATTTCTCTATCTCTCCCTCCCTCTCTCTTTCTAAAATCAATCAATAAATAAATGTTTAAAAAGAAATCTTACCACCCAGATGACTTCACTAGAGAATTCTGTCAAACATTTGTGAAATAAATAACAATTCTACACAAATTCCAACTCTATGACCTACAGCCCTGCAACTCTAATGTTAAGAAGCATCATCCTCACCCTAGCCAGTATGGCTCAATGGATAGAGCGTTGGCTCGCGGACCTAAGAGTCCTGGGTTTGATTCCAGTCAAGGGCATGTACCCGGCCCAGGCCCTGGCCAGGCTTGTGCAGGAAGCAACTAATTGATGTGTTCCTCTCACATCGATGTTTCTCTCTGTCTCTCCCTCTTCCTACCACTCTCTCTAAAAATCAATGGAAAAGTAGCCTCGGGTGAGGAATAACAAAACAAAAAAAAGGGGAGAAACACCGTCCTCACAAAATGAAGATACTTTCAGAAGAAAAATAAACAAGTGCTTAGCATCAGTCTTAACCACAGCGAGCCAACTAGACAGCTGTGGGGAGACAGGCAGGGCGTGTGCTCCAGAGTGCAGGGCCTGGAAGGCCAGCATAAATGCAACAATTATCATAGGAAGCTTTCTGGTCCTGAAAGAGAGCAGAGAGGTCCAACCTAAAGTCATTATCTTACCATTTCTGATTAAGACCAGCCCTAAAACAGAGGGGTAAAATACAAAAGTAAAGAAGATTAAGGATGCCGAAGCCAGTTTGGCTCAGTGGATAGAGCGTCGGCCTGTGGACTGAAGGGTCCCGGGTTCGATTCTGGTCAAGGGCATGTGCCTGGGTTGCAGACACATCCCCAGTGGGAGATGTGCAGGAGGCAGCTGATCGATGTTTCTCTCTCATCGATGTTTCTGGCTCTCTATCTCTCTCCCTTCCTCTCTGTAAAAAATCAATAAAATATATTTTAAAAAAAAAAGAAGATTAAGGATTTGCAGCCTGTTAGAATGTGCAGCAGGTAAGGAAATATCTATCACATGCATTGTTCTCATCACTACAGAAGGACACAAAATAAATAAAACATGGTAAGTCAAACAAGGACAGACATTTCTCTAACCTAAATATGTAGAATTAAATTGTTTCTTTAAAAGAAACACACACCACAGAGTATATGGTAAATAAAATATTAAGAAACATCAGGGTGCCCAGCCGGTGTGCCTCGGTGGTTGAGCGTCCCCACCTATAAACCAGGAGGTCACTGCTCAGTTCCCGTTGGCGGGGCACAGGCCTGGGTTTCGGGCTCGGTGCCCAGTGGGGGGGCGTGCAGGAGGCAGCCAATGAGTGATTCTCTCTCATCATTGATGTTTCTATTTTTCTCTCCCTCTCCCTTCCTCTCTGAAATCAATAAAAAATATATTTTTAAAAAAAGAAATATCAGGGATATTTGTAGATATGACTAATGTTTTAGGGTTACAGTAGTCCCATAGGTGTCACAAAATAGAAATGGCATTCACCCCAAGGCGAAGTGGGTGACTACCATGACGACATGCACGTAAGTGTGCTACGGCACAGAGAGAATGAGTTTTAAGTCAGCCAGGTCTGGGTTTAAACCTTAGCTCCAGGGAGCTGTGTGATCTCGAGCAGTTTCTTAAACTCCCTGAGGACCAATTCTCCCATCTGGGAAATCGGGGCAATAATATCAACCTTCACAAGTTGCCATCAAATTAACTGTAATAACCTATGTCTGGGGTGGCAAACAGGTTTCACTTCCTATGCAGTTCTAACGTGCTGCTGGATGCGGAGCACCGCGTTACCTTGTTAGAAGGAATTATGGAGCGACGCCTGGGCCTGGCGAGATGAGCGCTGTAACCGCCTATGCCCATCACTCCCGGGAACGGGGAGCAGATTGTAAGCCAGGCATTTGTCGTCCCTGCGCCCAATAAACAGTAAGTAGCTCTTCTTATTCCTAGTTCTATGGTCATAAAAGAAGGTGTTTAATAGTATGTTCCTTATTTTCAACTTAATTTTCAGATTCTAGGGGGAGAACATCCAATAAGACAGAAGAAGCCTTGTGCTATGAGAAAGCATACTCTTTCCTAAAAAAAAAGAAAGAAAGAAAGAAAAGAAATCCTTGCCCTGGCTGCCGGCTCAGTTGGATGGAGCATCATCCCATCCACCAAAGGCTGCAGGTTTGCTCCCTAGTCGGGGCCTGGGCAGAAGGCGGCAGCCAGTAGTTGTTGTTTTTTAATCCTTAAATTAGCAGATCAGGGTCCTTCTCCACAAATTTCTTCAATTAAAGGTTGAAGGCAAGGTTCAAATTTCTCTAATTAAGTAAACAACCTTTAAATGTGGAATCAGAAGAATCAACAGGAAGCTAAAGAGGTGAATGCAGAGAAGAGAACCACTTGGAACTGTAGCCTCGGTTACCTGCTGCCCCAAGTACTTCAGCCCGTCCAGGCAGACTTTCCACTCAATCAGCAGCTGGTAGGCGGCCTCCTTCCCTCCCCATATCTTCACCACGAAACAGGACACAGAGGTATCAAGGCGGTCGGGCATTAATCCAAAATCGAGACTCCGCCATGTTGGATTCTGTTGATAGAAATGAAAACAGGCCTGAGAAAGACTCTAACTTGTTTCCAGTTATTTCAATTAGGTTGGGATCATTTTGTTTGTAAAAAACCAAAGACCTCATAAATATATTAAATTGCCAACTTAAGTGAACCAAGAAGACATTCCAATTAGCAGGACAGGGGTGATAGTGGTATTTTTAAATTTCTCTTCTTATTTATTATAGTCATTAAAAGGAGCATATAGTCTTAATCTCACTAGTATGGCTTCCTATGGTAATTCATTTATCTATTTATTAAGCAATTAAGACACAATTATTAAGAAAAGAAATATAAACAATGCCTCAAAGTACCACAAATCTGTTGGCTTCAAACCTCTATTTAAGTAATGCTATTGTTCCATTAAAAGTTCAACAACAGAATGATGCAAAGGCTACACAGTAGCACAGGAGGGAATAATAAACTTTGAAGTGTGAGAGTGAACCAGGGATCTTTTCTGTCAAAGAAAGGAGCTCGCCACCATCATAGGCTCTGCCATTTCGATATGACCTTCAGGTTCTCAGGGGGCCCGCCACCTTAGGCTCCGCCTCACCCCGCCCCTTCGTCTGAATTAGCCAATCGTGCAATAATGTGAATCCGAGCTCTGAGCCCTGACCAATCAAGTCAGAGTCAGAGTCAGAATGAGGGGCAGGACAGACCCCATCAGGAAATAAAGCCCCAAAGGAAAATCACAGCAACTGCGCTCCTCTACGCAGGAGTAAATCTCCTGCCGATCCACTTTCGAGCCTTTGTCTCATTCCCACAGAGCATTTCTAACAGGAGGATCAGGGGAAAGACATCACAGAGGCTATGAAACTTGGCTACTAAAGGACAAGTAGGATTTGACCTGGTTACAGTAAGGAAGTCCAGGCAAAGGACACAAGATAAACAAGGCTCGGGGTGTGAAATAGGGAGTGGGGTCAGGGAACTAAGGCAACTGCTGGCGCACACAACACAAGAGAGACGGACACAAAGCTGGAGAGATAAACAGGGGACTAAACGGAAAGATATTTTATGCCTTGTCACGGAATCAGTCCTTTACTGGGTGTAAGATGTGGGGCCACTGAAAGGTTTTAAGGTTAATGAACATGCAACAACATGGATGAATCTCACAAATGTGACATGTATAAGCAAAAGAAAATATGCCATATTTTCAAAAACTAGCAGAACCAATCTGGTGCCAGAAGTCAGGATAATGGTTCTCTTTGGGAAGAAGTAGTAACTAGAGGGAGAACACAAGAGGTGCTGATAATGTTCTATTTATTGTTCTGATTACATTGATCTCATTGAAAAATCATCAGGCTCTTATAATTTGTGCCCTTTAATGTGCTGTGTCTCAACAAAACACAATAAAACTAATTTTTAAACGACCAAATAATGGGGGAAATACTGCATCTTACAAATCAAATTATGGTATCTCTTCATGATGTAATTTTAGGCCCTAAAGCTAAAGAGCGGGAGTTGGAGGACCTTCCTGGCCTTCACATTGCACCACATGAAGAGGCAGCCATTCCCTCGCCTCTGTAAGATCCCCCTCAACAAAAGTGACATGTTCTAGAATATCTTCTGTAATAATAAAAGCATAATATGCTGCGAGGGAAGCCCGGGTCCCAGGTGCCAGAGGGAAGCTGGTGCCGGCAGCCAGGGGAAGGAAGGCCTACTCTTGCACGAATTTCGTGCACTGGGCCTCTAATACCATAATATAATTTCAAAATCTCAATGTCACTGAGATTTTGTTAACTTTCCCAAAAGTTAACAAATGGTTTGGAGGGTATGGCGAGGTGAAGCTAGAGACATTAAAGTTGAACTACACATTCACCAGTAATTATTTTATGCCAAATATATCTGAGAAGAAACCATCACTCAGATGTAACTTGCAGACACATCTCCACAATCTAACCTATCCAAGGACTGTTCTTGTTACTCAATGCAACAGACACTGATAGGCCTTCTCTAAATAAAGCATGTGCTGGGACATTAGAAAATAGAAAAAGGGGGTCCTTGTCTATCAGATGCTCCTAATTTTGTGTGGCCTGTAACTGTATCCCTTCTAAAATCTTACTCTTAACGCGATCCAGCCTTTCGCTACCTCCTCCTATTTCCCCAGGTCATTTCCCCCGCTGCCCTGTGCTCAGTCCCCCTGCCTCTTGTGTCATATTTGCCGCAAAATCTCAAGCCACACACACTCATCCACTTCAGCCACACTAACTCCTAAGGCATTTCTTGAAAACCTGCTTTTGTACTTTCCTGTTTCTTGGCCTGGAACCTATGTCTCTGTGCATTTTTCCCCCACATAGAAACATAACTTGTTCCCTCACTTTGTTAAGGTGTCTGCTAAACAGTATCTTTTTTATTATTACCATAGGAAAACAAGCAAGCCCACCCCTGCCAGGTACCCCCTTTTGCTGCTTTATTTTACTCAATATTTGTATTTATTACCATTTAACATATTCCGATTTATCAATTCTAACGTACTTTTCTTCACATTGTAAGATGAATTCTGATTTTAGAAATGCTAAAATCAATATGGTCCTATAATATTTGACCAGCAGGTGGCAGTCATCAGATAGCTCTACATGCACAACCTTAAAAATAGCTGTAGATAATATCAATTCTTTCAAGTTAGGCACAGCCTTGGCACTAGTCGTGCTGAGTTTAAGTGCCATTTAAAATACACTTATTGATTTAGACTTTAAAAAATCCTGTATATAATATCTATCAAAAGTTTAAATTCAAAAGATTAAGGAATTAAGTGGGTCACAAGAATATGGAATAAAGAGAATTCTCTCAGACTGCTGGTGAGAGTGTAAATAAAACAATAATTTTGGAAAACTGGAAATATACATTAAAGCTGATCCCTTGCATATTCCCAGCAAGTCCATTCCTAGATATATAACCAACAAAAATGAATACAGACTTTCAACCAAAAGATACACACAAGAAAGTTCATAGCAGCACTACTCATCTTAATTCAAAACTAGAAACTAACCAAATGCCCATCAACAGAAGAATGGACATATTCTGGTATAGTCACAGAATAGAATACTATAGAGCAAACAAACTACAAATATAACCCCACAGTATGAACGACTCGTGATATAAACTTAAGACATGGAAGTCACACACAATAAAAGTACATACTGTATTGTTTAATTTCCATAAAACTCAAAAACAGGTAAAATTAATTTATGGCATTAAAAGTCAAGAGCTAAAGAGCAAGGAACCAAGATGGCAGCAAGTAAATGCCTATACTTGCTGCCTCCCACAACCACATAAAAATTACAACTAAAATACAGAACTATCATCCAGAACCATGGGAAAGCTGGCTGAGCAGAAGTACTACAACTAGAGAGCTGTTCCTCTTAATAGGCCAGCACCGGGAACTGAATTTACAAGCGCCCACTTCCTCTGAGCTCCATTGCTGGGCAAGGCTTTAGGGGACCCAGACACATACAGGGAGAAACTGGAATATCTGGCATCAGGGCAAGATATTATATGAAATGCTGAAGAGTATCCTTTAAGAAGAGGAAGAAGAAGAAGATGAAGGTAAAGATAAAAATTATGAACAACAAAGTGACAGCAAATACATATCTATCAACAAGTGAATCTAAAAATCAAATGAATAAAAAATCTGATGAACAGAATAAACTGGTGAATGGAATAGAATCAAGGGCATGGAAATGGAACAAACTGACGATTCTCAGAAGGGGGGTTGCAGGGGGGTGTGGGAAAAGTTTAGACAAAGATCTTATGTACATGTATGCATTACCTATGGACACAGACAATAGGGTGGCAAGGGCGTGGTGTGGGAACAGGATGGAGGGGGAAATATGGGGGGGAACAAGAAGGACATCTGTAATACTAGGTATACCAGTTAATGCGGATTTTTTTCAATAGACGGAGTTACACATATGTTGATATATATGTGATTTGATATGTATGCTATTTTGTTGTATTGACAGCAAGCTTCAAAGCTTCATATGTCAAATTTGCTGAAGGTGTTAACATCATAGATATTTTTACACTTAAAAATGTCGAATTTCGTGCCCCAAAAAAAGAGCATTTGTGGGAAGTTTTAATTCATTACTTTATTTTGAAGAAACTGTTATCGTATACTTCGGGAAGCTTATGGTGAACATGCTCCATCTCAAGATAATTATTTTGAGAATCCCAAATGCACAAAATCATGGGTTGATCCAGGTCAACCATCAACATCGACTGCAAGGCCAAATCGCTTTGGAAAGAAGACAATGCTCTGCGTTTGGTGAGATCAGGAAGGTGTGGTGTATTATGAGCTTCTAAAACCAGGTGAAAGTGTTAATACTGATCACTACTGACAACAAATAATCAATTTGAGCCACACTTTGATCGTGAAATGACCGGAATGTTCCAGAAGACATGGCAAAGTAATTTTGCTTCATGATAACACACCATCACACATTTCAAAACCAGTAAAAGACACATTAAAAGATCTTGCCTGGGAAGTATTAACCCACCCGCCGTATTCACCAGACCTTGCTCCTTCAGATTACCACTTGTTCCAATCGATGGCACACGCACATTCTGAGCAGCACTTCAAAACGTACGAAGAAGTGGAAAATTGGGTCTCTGAATGGTTTGCCTCAAAACAAGGAAAGTTCTATTGGGACGGTATCCAAAAATTACCTGAAAGATGGGGGAAATGTGTAGCTAGCAATGGACATTGCTTTGAATAAAGCACTTTTGATGTTTCTCTTGAAATTATTGTGTTTTCTTTGATTACAAAATCCGCCATTATTAACCGGTACACCTAGTAATCTCAACAATAAAAATTTTTTAAAAATCAAAAAAAAAAGAGCTAAAGAGCACAGAAATAGATCAATAAGGCATGAATTTGGTATTAGAGAAGCAAATATTTATCAGTGGAGAAATAACCTCATCCATCTTCTTCATAAGACTTAAGGAAATTGCCACAAATTGAGGAAGCTGATTTATATTTTATCATTGAAATACATACAAAATATTTCCTATCACAGGTCAAGCAATACACCTGAAGGAAGGACAAACTGCTAAATAAACACTCCCTTGGAATGGGTGAAAGAAATTTCAAAGTAATAAGAGGCTAGTAAGATTGATCACAATCCCCACAGGACTATTGCCAAGGCTCTGTGTTTCAGTTTAAACGTAAGTGTTCACGTTTTCTTGGTGAACATAAAATAATGATGAGTCTTACAACTGACAACTTGGATTAGGCTATATATATACTATACTATAAATTGCTTTTTCCTTGCTTGTTTGCCAAGTACAAGCCAAGCACAATGCAATGCCTATGGAGGATATGACAATGAACTGCATAGTCCCTGTCTTCATGAGGTTTATCCTGAATATTAGAGGACCTAAGGCAACCATATGAACAGCTATTATACTGATTTAGAATGGTACTAGTAGTATAAGTGCAAAGTATATGTATTTTTAAGTGCACACACACAAAGAGATTTCTTCTTACTAATGTTACAGATTCTAAGAAAGCTTTACAGAAACATCTAGAAATGTGCTGTCCAACACTATATACATTAGTCATGTGTGGTTAAATTAAAATTAAACAGAACTAGCCCTAGCTGGTTTGGCTCGGTGGATAGAGCGTTGGCCTGAGAACTGAAGGGTCCCAGGTTTGATTCCAATCAAGGGCACATGCCCGGGTTGCAGGCTTGATCCCCAGTTGGAGGCATGTAGGAGGCAGTTGACCAATGATTCCCTCTCATCACTGATGTTTCTATCTCTCTCTCCCTCTCCCTTCCTCTCTGAAAATCAATAAAAAAAATATATTTTTTTTAATTAAATAAAACTAAAAATTTGGTTCCTCAGATTTAACCACATTTCAGGTGCTCAACAGCCACATGTGGCTGGGCACCTGTACTGGACAGTGCACAGACACTGCCAACATCGCAGAAAGTTCATTGGACAGCACTAATTCGGAGTGTTCAGGAGTTAGGACAAGGCACAGAATAGGCACACAAGGACAGTTTAGCCTGGCCGGTGTGGCTCAGTGATTGAGCATAAAGACCTATGAACCAGGAGGTCAGGGTTCGATTCCCAGTCAGGGCACATGCCCAGGCTGCAGGCTTGATCCCCTGTGTGGGTTGTGCAAGAGGCAGCTGATCAATCATTTTCTCTCATCATGGATATTTCCATCTCTCTCTTCCTCTCCCTTCCTCTCTGAAATCAATAAAATTTTTTTTTTTTTAAAAAAAAGGACAGTTTATCTAATCTTTAAGGAAAAACACTGTTTCTAATTGTGTATCCATTTTTCCATGTTGCCTCTGACATTAGAGTGGCAAAAGCAGGCCACTCTGGTCTAAAAACAAGCTCAGAATGCATAGCTCGGAAAAAGTCAAAGCCTTAAAAGTTACATGAGTGAAAAAGATTATTCACAAGCTCACCAGCCTCCAACTTAGTTCACCAGAGTGAAAATTTACCCAAAGCTTGGCTAAAAATAAAGTATTAGTTTGCCTAATCCTTTAGTGGCTAATCAGAAGTCAGTCAATAAATGTATTTATGGAAGAATCCATTCATTAAGAAACATTTGCTGAGCACCTTCTATGTACCAAGCACAATGGTAAAGAGGAGGAACAGAAGCATTTAAATCATTAACTCTATTCAGCAAATATCACAATAGTTTAAAGAATTATAAACTCCTAAGCAGGAACCCTAGCCCATGTGGCTCAATAGGTTGGAGCGTTGTTCCACACACCAAAAGGGGGCAGGTTTGGAGTGTGTGAGGGAGGGCCTTTTGAGGTTTCTCTCTCTCGGCAGGTGACAATAAAAAACAAACTCCAGAGCAGGGGAAAAAAAATCAACAAATTCTGCTCATCTGTGGTTCTTGAGAGACAGCAGGAAGGGAGGTAACAAGATGCCATCCCCATCATATGCCCTGAAGGTTACTGATTCCTGTGGTGCTCAGTGCCCTTAAATCTGCATCAGTCACAATGCCTTAGCAAAAAGCTAAGATGAATCCTTTCAAAAAGAAGAGAAATGAACTGAGGTTTATCAAATCTATATCAAGGTTATAAAAGAAACAAACAATCCTTGCCAAAAATATAATCTCAAAGAATATCCTTAAAAGGAAATATCAATGAATCAACATTTAACAAATAACTACCCAACAGAAGGAATACAGTGGGAGCTAGGGCGACATAAAGATATTCGGGCAGTCTCCAACCTCCAGGAGCTTTCATCCACTTCGGGAGATGAAATGCTTTTGAACAAGTACAATGCGAGCAAGTGCTGGTAAGTGGTATTCTCGGGAAACAATTACAGGAGAAACTACAAGTGCAAAGGACCTTGGAAGTCTTCTTGTCCAACCCTCTCCCTTGTCTGGAATCTATTTTTACAAAACGCGATTCAGCCTAAGTACACCAGGGATGAAGATGTCACATTTCGTAGAGACAGCTCAGCTCAGAAGCAACTGAAGACAGGAGTCAAAAGGAGCTGAAGATAGTGATGATGTTTAGGAATATGGATCTGAATATCAAGAAAATACAATACTAATAATGCAGAATTATACACTAAGGTACCACTATAGCATACAGTCCATTATGATACAAATCCAGAGAAAATGCAAGGGGATGTTGTAAAACCATCTCCAACTATAGTTTTGAATACAGAAAAGGGAGCAGATAAATCAAAGTGGCATTCTACTCTATAAACCCTTTCCCCAGCTCTCACTCGTCTGTGGGGGTTTTTCTATTTCTATTTCCACCTAAGCCAAAAGAAAAGGAAAAACTAATATTGACTCAGTAGCTACTATGTCAAGCATGATGTTAGCCATTTATCATGAATCCTGTAATTCTTGAAGAGCTTTACTGATGACTGGAGCTCCTCAGAGATGGGCTTAAGGAATCTGTTTGGCTAAGGATCCAAATCTAGTATGATATTTGAGACATTTGGAAGACAGCTAGATGAAGAGGAAAGAGTAGTAGAAACTTTAAGAGAGAAGGTCTGGGAACTGAAGTTCTGGTCTTGCAGTTGTAGAACTACAAAAGTTGCTGGGCCTCTCTGTGGGGCAATTTCTTAAGACCTACCCCATCTACCCTTCATGATTTTCTAAGGATCGAAACGGAAGAACATATTTTATTTTTTTCTAATATATTTTTATTGATTTCAGAGAGGAAGGGAGAGGGATAAGAGAAACATCAATGATGAAAAAGAGAATCACTGATTGGTTGGCTCCTCAGTGCCCCCTACTGGGGATCGAGCCCACAACCTGGGCACGTGCCCTTGACCAGAATCAAACCCGGGACCCTTCCATCCGCAGGCAGACGCTCTATCCACTGAGCCAAACCGGCTAGGGCTGGAATAACATATTTCAAAGGAGTCTGAAAATATAATACCTCACTGATTTATCCATTTAACAAATACTCACTGAGCTATTCTACACTGTAGGGTTTCAGAGATGCACAAGATTGGGAAGGTCCTTGCTCTCAAGAGACTTACACTGTGGTAGATGGGAGATGGATAATAAATAAACACAAACAAGTGAATAGGAGTTCCCAATAGTGAGAATGCTCTAAAGAAAATAAGACAGATGACGTGAAAAACAGTGAATAGAGAAAAGGGAACTACTGTATTTTTTTTTTTAAGAGCAGCTTTTCTAATCCTCACCTGAGGATATGTTTGTACTGGTTTTTATAGAGAGAAAGAAACATCAATGTGACAGAGAAACATCGATCAGTTGACTCCTATATGCACTCCAACTGGAGATCAAACCCACAACCTACGTATGTGCCCCAACCAGGAATCCAACTCAAGACCTTTCGGTGTACAGGACAACACTCCAACCAGCTGAGCCATACAGGTCAGGACAAAAGGAAAATACTTTAGATGGAATAGTCATAGAAGGTCTGGCTGAAATCACATAGCTGAGACCTCAAAGAATTCTTCAGCCAAATGTTTCCAATACTTGTGGAAACAAGTATTCTAGGTATAAGGAATGAGACACGCTTGGCATGTTCAAAGCACTGAAAAATGAGTTATGCCTAGAACACAATGAGTGAGAAAAAATATTAGGAGATGAGGTTTAAAAATGTAGACAGTGGTCAAATCCAGTATGGTCTTGGACCATTAAAAGGATATTATCATTGGCATAAAGCTCTTTTTATCAATATGGCCCGATAAATTGAGTCATTTATGCAAATATCAAGTGTACAAATTATCAAAAGTAGAACACTTCCAAATTTCTAACTGAGGAATGCCATTGTCAAAAACAGGTGGAAGGATCCTACATGATAGCATTTTAAAGAACTGTATCTAAACAAAATATCATTTATTACAATGTTTGGTAAGTCAAAAACCTCTACAGTAAATAGAAGTGATAGAATTATAAAATTTAATTTGAAAAAACACCAAAGTTTTTAATGGAAAAAATAGCAGTTCATTCAGCAAATATTTATCAAACATCTGGTATGTGCCAGGCATGTTTTAAGCACTAGAGATACAGCAATAAACAAATCAATAAGGATTTAAGCAGTAATTAAGCAGAAGATTTAATGGGAGAAGGCAGAACTAAACTTGACCTTATTTTATGTCTCAGCATTCTCTGAAATAGGAGTTATATGTATATGCACCTGTCAGAAGGAAAACTTACCAAGGAATTCTTAATCACTTCACTTCTATAAAATTCTGGAAAAAAAGAAAAAGAACAATAAGTGATCTGGAAAAAAATAAAATTCATTAACTCTTAATCTGGTAAATGTTTTAACATTTATTTCAGTAAGACATTTTCAAGGGATCTACTCTCTCTATATCTTTATCTATAAAAAAATTAAAGTAGAAATAAAGATTAAATGAAAGCGTTTTAACAGGGAAAACTTAGTAAAGGAAGGTCGAAACCTGTTAAGATTTAAGTTAGTTATTTTTACTTTTACTGGCTCTTTTTACCCTAGATTCTAATTTGAGTCCTTAAAACTCAGACTTTCTTATCCCCTACCTACTCCCACTCTCTACAACTGATTCCATATTCTCTGTTTTTCTCAAACATCACTTATGATTATTCCCTGTAGTATTGTCAAATGAATAGTGACCTAGCAACCAGGTAACTTAAGTTGATGACTGATTCCACCTGTCATTAATATTCTGTCTCTTTCATTTCTTTGGGGCCATTTTTCATCAGAGAACTTAGAAAATTAGACTAATGACCAAACATCCTCTGTAAACATTAAAATTTAATAATTCAGCCCTCGCCAGGTGGCTCAGTTAGTTGGAACATCATCAGGTACACCAAAAGGTGGTGGATTCAATTCACGGTCAGGGCACAGACCTAGGTTGCAGGTTCAATCCCAGGTTCGAACTCCTACGGGAGGCAACCAATCAATGTTTCTCTCTCACATGATCTCTCTCTCTTTCCCTCTCTCTCTTCTTTTCTCTAAAAATCAATAAAAAAATATCCTCATGTGAGGATTAAAAAAAATTTTTTTTAACTTTCATGATTCTACAAACGTTCAAGAATGTTGTAAATGTTAGAAAACCCAAAGACACAATCAAAAAAGAGAAATGTGACTGAGGCAGACATTTCCAACTACCCTCCAACATTCTCTGTAGGCCCTGCCAACATCATCTCCAGGATACTCTGTCTATCTCTGCAGAGCCTACAAGGACCCTTGTATCCTTAGGTTGCTAAAGAGTACTATTTCCCAAATGTGATGCACATATCATTGGTACCTGAGGTGATTTTAGATGATTGATGGATAAACTATATTTTTTCTAATACACTGAAACTTGTGTTGTACATATTACACCACTCATCGTAAGCTCCATAAAGGAGGAGTAGTAGTGTCTGTTTTGTACAACTGCTGTCTCCTCAGTACATAAAACCATTCCTGGCACAGGGTAGACAAAAGTTTTTTTGAATCAACAATTTCACACATTATTCTTAACCATAAATTTAAAAATAATAAACTTTAAAAAATATATTAAATATGCAGTAGTATAGGTAACATTCAAATAAGAGTGCAACTTGTCAAGGTGATCCACTAATAACTGAAGTTTGGCCCGGCTGGTGTGGCTCAGGGGTTGAGCGTCGACCTATGAACCAGGAGGTCACGGTTTGATTCCTGGTCAGGGCACATGCCCAGGTTGTGGGCTCAATCCCCAGTGTGTGGCCTACAGAGGCAGCCGATCAATGACTTTCTCTAATTATTGATGTTTCTATCTCTATCTCTCTCTCCCTACCTCTCTGAAATCAATAAAAGTATATTTTTTAAAAAAGATAACTGAAGCTTGGGAATCATCACGCAGTAAATTAAAAGCAGACATGGACGTAACACTCTTTTTTTTTGGTTAATCCTCATCCGAGATTATTTTTCCATTGACTTTTAGGAAGAGTGGAAGAGAGAAGGAAAGACAGAGAAACATCAATGTGAAAGAAATACATCAATTGGTTGCCTCCTGCACAAGCCCTAACTAGGGCTCAGGCCAGGGAGGAGCCTGTAACCAAGGTACATATCCTTGACCAGAATCAAACCCTTTGGTCTATAGGCCGATGCTCTATCCACTGAGCCAAACCAGAGAGGGTGGTCATAACACTTTTATGTGCATGCTCTTTTGATTAAAGCATTTCTTGACAAACGTATCATCTATGTTACTCTCACCTTGTCTTCCTAAAAAAATAAAGATAGGACATTTGATTTTGTGGAGAAAGAGTCACAATATATTAAGTAAAAAACAGGTTCTAAGAATTTATAACAGGATCCAAATTATTAACAATGTTTATCTTAGATGACAAGATTAAGTTATTTACTTTTGGTTTTTTGCTTGAAAGCTTTCTAATTTTTCCATCTCCAAATAATTATCTGAAATAAGAAAAGAGATCATTCTAATCGTCTTTAAAAAGAATCTGCTACTGCCCTGGCCAGTGTGACTCAATGGTCAGAGTGTTAACCTGCACACCAAAGGGTCTCTGGTTCAATTCCCGGTCAAGGGCTTCTACCTGGGTTGCAGGTTCAATCCCTGGCCCCTTTCGGGGCTCATGGAGGCAACCAATTGATGTGTCTCTCACACATCAATGTTTCTCTCTCTCTCCTTTCCACTCCCTCTAAAAATCAATGGAAAAAATATCCTCAGGTAAGGATTAACAAACAAAAAAAGAATCTCCTACTTCCCTAACCGGTTTGGCTCAGTGGATAGACCATCAGCCTGCAGAATGAAGGGTCCCAGGTTCAGTTCTGGTCAAGCGCATGTACCTTGGTTGCGAGCACATCCCCAGTAAGGGGTGTGCAGGAGGCAGCTGATCGATGTTTCTCTCTCATCGATGTTTCTAACTCTCTATCACTCTCCCTTCCTCTCTGTAAAAAAAATCAGTAAAATATATATTTAAAAAAAAGAATCTCCTACTGATGAACATTTAGGTTACTGCCAATTTTTAGATATTTCAATTAATGTTATAAATAAAAAATCTTTTGAAGTAAAGATGCAAGACAAAAAAATATATATGTTTGATATATTACCAAATTATTCACTAAAAATACTGTACCAATTTACAATCCCACTTATGAATACCCGTTTCCCCAACACTAGGCAACACTAAGTATTATTCTTTTCATTTTATTTCCCAAGTGGCTAACCAATTACTCCAACCATAAATTAACTAGAGATACATATTTATGTATGTAAATTAATAAATTAATTTATTAATAAATTAACATATTTAATTTAATGTATTTACATATATATTAATTTATTGTGTTTATTATGTTAATATATACATATGTTCTAATTTATATACACCGTATATATTTTTGAAAGAATAACTAAAAGGGCTAAAAGCTGTTGTTTTCTATAACAAGGTATTTTTGCTTTATACTTTTACATTTTTCTATTATTTGAATTCGTTACAATATGTATTACTTTTAAAATCAGTGGGGGGGGGGGGAGAAAGATACTCTTTTTTTCTTTTAATCTGCAAAGTTAAACTACTAATCAGTTCCCAAAATAAATACCTCCAGCTCTTAGAAGATGAATAGTATTATTTCTTTCAAAATTTTGCTGATTTATATATAAACTAGAGGCCCGGTGCACAAAATTCGTGCACGGGAGAGGGAGGGAGTCCCTCAGCCTGGCCTGCACCCTCTCGCAATCTGGGACCCCTTGAGGCATGTCTGACTGCTGGTTTAGGCCCGATCCCGCAGTGGGATTGGGCCTAAACCGGCAGTCGGACATCCTCCTCGCAATCCAGGACCGCTGGCTCCTAACCACTAGCCTGCCTGCCTGATCGCCCCTAACTACTCTGCCTGCCTGATCCTCCTAACTGCCTCTGCCTTGGTCCCCACCACAGCGGCTTCGTCCAGAAGGACATCCAGAAGGTCGTTCAGCTGTCCAGTCTAATTAGCATATTACGCTTTCATTATTATAGATGAAACTAAACAATTTTTCTTCTCCATGAGACCCTCAAAACGGACTTTCTAATTTAAATGTAGAGAGGCCAACAAAGGAGCCACACAATTTGGAAAGAAATCACTGAGTCTGAAGTAATTTCTAACATGCTAAACATGGGTCCACAGTGTCTATCATTCTGTTACATCTAAAACATTCTATTACAATAAAATCAGCAGCATGGTGAAAAAAGAGAATGAATTTTTTTTTAAATTTAGTCGAAAACCAGTTCCAATCCCCAAACTACCATGTATAAGCTTGACCCTGGACAAGTCAACCTTTTGGGCCATAGTTTCTTTACTTTACAAAGGAGAATGACACCAGAAAAATAACAGGGTTGTTGTGAGTCTCAAAAGAAATCATGAATTATAAATTATATTTTTATTAATACAATTTTATTAATTTTTATTAATTCAATCTGAGCAAAATGATTATTATCTGAGACTTATTTCTACATGAAAAGGACCATCAGATACAAACATTCCTCTATCCATGCTAAGGCGTGTTCTTTAAACACGCTTCCAATGGCATGTTTTGGTTGTTAGGTAGCATTCCACTCACTCAACAAATGCTTTTTTAGTACCTCAACCTCACTCAGAATAGAAAAATACAAACTTAAACTATATTATAAAACTATTTTATCAGTTTGGCAAAAATTCAGAAGTTTTATTGTAGAGGCTGTTGGTGAGGCTCTGGGAAAAAGGACAGAGCAAGTGGAAGTAAACAAGGACACTTTTCTAATAGCTACCATAACTGCCGAGTACACCCTCTCTTTGCAATTTTACTTCTTGGAATGTATAAAATAATGTGCTTGTAAAGTTATTCAATACAGTACTATGTGTACAGCAAAAGATTGGATCCACCTATAAATGCCTACTAATAGGAGCCAGTTAAATAATTTATTCAATGCAAAATAAGGAAAGCTCTCTATGAACCAATATGGAAAAACATTTAGGGCATGAAAAAACATTTTAAATATGGAAAAATATTTAGGGTATATTAAGTTAAAATTTCAAGCACAGAAATATATATACCTTGGTACTAATTTTACTTGTATTTGTATAAAGAATCTCAGGAAAGATAAACAAGAAAGGAATAACTGGTTGTCAGGGTGGGGTGGAAAACTAGGGAGCTTGGACAGGTGAAAGGAAGACTAATACAAACCTATATACACACACAAACATACATGTGTGTATGTATGTATGTATGTATACATATACACTTTCTATATATGAACTGCACTTTATATATATTCTAAACCATGGACTGTGTTACCTATCCAAAAAATTAATGGAAAAAAATATATTTAAGAGCTCAGTATGTGCCAAGCATCATTCCAAGTATTGGAGACATTGCAGTGAACAAAAGTGACCTAAAAATTACTGACCTACAAATTTCTGCCCTCATAAAGTTTACATTCTAGTGGAGAGAGATATACATTAACCAAATAATTAAACAAGTAGTATGTCAAATGATCTTAAGTATTGTGGAGAAAAATAAAGCACAAAAGACAGAAAGAGAATAGTCACAATTTTTAAAAGGGTTTAGTCAGTGATCAGGAGAGTTTCTCTGAGAAAACATTTGGTATACAGGCCTAAAAGGAGGTGGAGGAGCTCGTCATATAGATGTAGGAGGAAAGTGTGCCCGGGACAAAGACAGAGTAAGTACAGAAGCTTTTAAATTGGATAAACTTGATATATTCAAGGAACAGCAAGGTGTGTGTCGCTGGAACAGAGAAGAGTAGAAGGAGATGAGTTCCAAGAGGTAACAGAGGATCAGATCATGAAAGACCTTTTGGAAAACTTAATAAGGATTTTAGCTTTTCTGAGTAAGATGAGAAGGCACTGAAGGGTTTTAAGGAAAGGAATAATATGATCTCCCTTTCATTTTAATGAGATCTGGGTGAGAACATAATGAAGAGGGTACAAAGTCTACTTCAATAATTCAGGCAAGAGATGACAGTGGTTTGGAGGTATAAGCAGTGATTGGCTTATGGATATATTTTGATAGCTAAGAGCCAAAAGTATTTGCTGAAAGATTGGATGTGGGATATAAAAAAGGACAATTCAAGAAGATTTCAAGGTTTTTGGCCAAGGATATGAAAGGATGGAGTTGCCATTTTCTGAAAGAAGGAATAATACAGGAGGTGGTTCAGAGCTAGAATATCAGATACTCGGTTTTTAATATATTAAGTTTAAGTTACCTACTAGACTCCAAAAAGAGATGTACAGTAGGCGACTAAAGACAGGAGTATGAGTTCAGAGGGGAGGTCCAAGCTAAGAATATAAGTTTGCAAGTTGTTAGCGATAAATGATATTTAAAACTATAAGACTTGGATGAGATCGCCAAAATGGATTATATAGAGTTTGTCTTCTGATGTATTCAAAATAGCTGGCTGATGTTCCAGGAGAAGACAGGCACTCACATTTCACGGTGAGAAAATAATTATGGCTTAACAACAACCTTGATTTTATAAATATTCCAAATTTAAGAGGAAACCAGGATTAAAACCTAGCTCCTCATACATAACACTAGGCTTTGTTCTCTGGAAATGTGATAACTAGTGTTTGATTTGAACTACCTAAAAGGCAGATAGTCTCCTAAGAGCACTAAAAGATGTCAATTTTTTTAAAAATCTCATATATAACTTCCTAGGATCTGCTGTGAATTCAGCTGAAATAAAAGAATAACTTAGAAATCAGCATTTCAAATATTCTCCCAATAAAAACACTTTCTTTAAAATTAACGATGCCACTAAACAAGTGTTACAGGTGGTTTTGTGTGATGAGCCAACTGGCTTTCTATCATGGTCATCCTACACCAAGGGCCACATAATATTCATGAAATGAATAACTGGACCTGAATTTGTCATCACAGGTCCAATAAGACAAGGTGGTATAACTAGGTTTAGTAAGGAAAGAGCTTCCTGGCTCCTCCTGTTACAGGTTAAGTTATGGGCCCAACAAAACCACCATGAATAGACTTCATTCATCCATGACATTTTGGAGAAGAAAGTCCCAGAAATCATCAATCCTCTCATTTTAGATATAAGTTAACTAAATGCCATTTAGTGACACTCAAAACCACCACCAACACTGGACTTCCCTGTGGTCTGTCACCAGCTATTCGCTAATTGTATTAGTTATCATTTTATTGAAATAGAGAAACAGTCTATGATCACTTCTAAGCTCAAAATGTAATCTGAGCTAGAAGACCAAAAACAAGATAAAAAAAGATGACTTTCTTTATATCTCTTAGACAAGTTTTTACATCATGGTCACCAACCAGTCCTGTGACTATTCTCTTTTTAGAAACTACTATTATGATTATTAACATTACAATTCTAATAACAATTGCTATCATTTACCACATACCTAAAATGCACTAAATACTATTATCAGAGGTAACACTGAAGCAAGGATACAGAAGTTCGATGAAGATAACAAATAACTAATTATATAGAAATCTATCAAACATTTAAAATACTCTGGCATTGTCATATATTGCCAATGATAAAACCAACTAGTGAGCACTAGATCAAAAGTTTTAAGATCTGCAAAATTGCTTATATCTTTAGGACAAATAGCAACTAAACTGTTTATTTTCCTCTGTACCAGCAGTGGGCAAACTACGGCCCGCGGGCCGGATCCAGCCCGTTGGAAATGAATAAAACTAAAAAAAAAAAAAAAAAAAAAAAGACCATACCCTTTTATGTAATGATGTTTACTTTGAATTTATATTAGTTCACACAAACACTCCATCCATGCTTTTGTTCCGGCCCTCCAGTCCAGTTTAAGAACCCATTGTGGCCCTCGAGTCAAAAAGTTTGCCCACCCCTGCTCTGGACACAAAGGAAGACATTTCCCAGGCCCTTTTCACCTAAAAAAGACGACTCAAATGTATGGCCAATGGAATGGAATGGAATTAAGCTGGGCCATTTCCATTAAGAAAATTTCCCTCTAACAATCCCTCTCTTGCCATGCCAGAGGTCACGTGTTGGTGGCAGCAGCATTCCAAAATAGAAGGAGCCGGGTACCTGAGGCACCACTTATCGGACATCTGCCAGGACACTACCTGATAAAGAACACCTGCACTGAACTTAGTTTAAGAAATGTATTATGTTAAGCCACTGAGATTTGTGGTATTTGTTACAGTAGCTAGCATTAATCATTCAAATTACTACAACTGTTTTTAAAATATGCAATGGTGCCCGGGCCAGTGTGGCTCAGTTTGTTGGAGTGTGGTCCTATACACTGAAATGTCTCGAGTTCAATTCCCAGTCAGGGCACATACTCAGGTTGTGAATTCCATCCCCCATTGACATAGGGGAGGCAAATGATCCATCTCTCTCTCTCTCTCTCTCTCTCTCTCTCTCTCTCTCTCTCTCTCATCAATAAAGAACAAATCTATCCTCACGTGAGGATAAAAATATGTATATGCATGCAATGGTCAGAATAAAAAATAAGAATGAAATAAAATGCCAGATTTCAGAGTCCTTTTTCATCCTTAAAAATTATTGTAATGCTATTTAAAATAGGGGTGGGAGGGTTCTACTCTATGTAATCCCTGATTGAATGTTTTAATGAGCATATGATGGTATTAAAATTTTTTTTAAGTTGGTAAAACAACTACTCCTTTAATAATGGTTTGGAAAAGTAATTAAAACCAAAAGATAAATGTCATTTGAATAATTCATCTTTGTCACAGGAAAAAATTAAAAAATAAATCCTTAGTAACTTTCAATAATATAATGCCATCTTTTGTTAATATAAGACCTTTAATCACATCGTACCAAGTGTCATCACCTTCTCAGCTGATCCTCATAAAAATGTCTTGCCGGCTTCACAGAACCTCCTTATTCCCATTTTACAAATGGGAAAATTTATGTTCAAAAAGCCATAGTCTTTTGCCAAAATCCTACAGCTAGTGAACAGCTGAGCTAGAACTAGTATCGATATTTTCAATCCTAATCTAATACTCTCATCATTATACTTGCTTCTCTTCTTACACCACCTGGCATAAGGTCACCAATTATACCAAAGTACCTTTCACGCAATATGTATTCAAAAGACACTTGTGATTTTGAATAAAGTATCTGCTCTACTCTTAGAACTGTCACTTATGGAAGAATCAACATTTCAATACATAAAACTTAATTCATAAAAACCATGACAATTCTTATAAAAAATGACTCCATAGTCACAAGGAATTACAGATATGAGAAAATATTAACTAGGACGCAATTTTACCATAGTATTAAAGAAAGCAATTACATTTTTTTAAAAAAGCAAATTAGTACTGGATACTGGCCTCATATATTTTAAGTGGCAGCTACTGGAATAAAGATATTAATAACATTCATAAAGGAATGATAAACTTATCAATGTAAGGCTTAGTTATCTGAAAGAACTACTTAAACGTCATGTTTCTTTAATATATATAACTGCTCAGGAAAATATTTTCACAGCATGACAATTTAGCTTTCCGGTAAGCAATAACAGCAAGAGGCTCTTGTGTTACAAAAGAATAAAAATGAGACGTAATGATCTGTGGGGAGTGAGTCCACAGATTCCCTTACCTTTATATATCTTTTCAGAATTACACAAGTGAAGTGTGAAGTAGGTATCAAGGAGTTGATGGCCATTTCTATTAACAATGTTCCGGGCAGCAATGTTCCGAAGGTGTCTAAGACGACGCTAAAAAGTAGCCAAAAAAAAAAAAAGAGAGAGAGAGAGATGCTCAGCTTTTCCCTCTTATAAAATTTTCTGAAAGTTACAATTCAAAAATGAAAGACGGTAAGTTGTCCCAGACATCTATTTGTTGAGACAGCAACCTTAACGGAGTTTCTTATTTATGTCTCAGCATCCCCTCCCTATTCATTTACAAGGTTAAAAAAATGTCACTTTCATGTTGTGAGCATGAAATGACAATGTGAAATATTTTTGAAAAGCATAAATGTTACATAGGTGCTATTTACCTGCAGAATAGCCTTAGTATTTCCTGGAACATAAACTAAGTAGGAATTTGCTTTTTTTTCCCTTTCAGAAGGATGTGCTGGTAGACATGCAAAGTCCATCTCAAACCAACAGAAAATCAGCAGCTATTACATACATACAACCCTATTGCTAGTTCAGACCATCTATCTGTACAACCAAGAAAAGAGGCCAAAACCAAAAAATAAGCGCAATTACTCGTGGTCACTCCATCCAGCCAATAATTCAACTGTCGTGAGCTTCAATTCTCACAACCAGCAGCCACCCAAGCTCTGTGTCCTAATCAGGACTCCTTCCCAACAATTTCTCAAACTAGGGTGCATGAATTATTTGGAGTTACAAGTGTGTTAGAAAGGCAGAAGCTCCTTAACCAACAGTACAAATCAACAAAAATACAAGATAACTTAAGGGATAGCCAAATCATCTCAAATCACAATGAAAAAATGCTGGCAATGCTGAAATCTGAGATTCCTTCCCAAAAGCTGGTTCTCTGTGTCAAATGATTATTTTTGGAGACTTAAAAATAGAAACAAAGTGCTCAGTTTTAAAATATGCTTAACACTCTCCCTTCAGGCTAAAAGACAGCCTATTCTACTGAGGTAAGTCCATCTTTAGTTACATGCGCAGTCAACCAGAAAAGTACAGTTCTTTCTTTACATGCAATCCTTTCTCCCAATCCAGAGATTAAGATTCTTTAAGAGAGAAGGTTATTGTCTAATAAATTTGTTTAACCCCCTACGTATGAAAAGTCTCAAATGTATTTACAGAAAGTTCCCAGCGTTTACTCTAAAAGACTCATTTTCCCACAATCTGCAGTTTCCATTTCACACCCTGAATTATAGCAACGATTTCCTCCTACTATATATTTCCATTAGCCCTTTCAGTCAAGATCTTAAATTGACAGGCCCACTAATTATTGCCTACACACAATAATCACGTTTATTTTGCTGTAAGACTGCAATCCTGTACTCTATTGAAAGGCTTGAGAATATTACCCAAAGCTTCTAGCACCAAATACAAACTTCCCATTACTGTCTTCAAAGCCTGTGCAATCCGACATCTCCACATCCTATCCTGACTTCACACTAGAACTCAGTCACACATGACAGCTTACGGTTCCATGCATGTTCCTAGCTCCATGCTTTTGCTAGAAATGATCTAGAATACCATTCTCTTTAAAGAGATCCCATTTCCACTTCAAAGTTAAGGAGACAAGATTCCTTCTTCCTTAGCTCTAGCTGAAATTAATTGCTCCTTTCTTAGAATAAAAAGAACTTTGCTTCTATCTCTTCTATACACTTATTTTCATTCAGCCTTGTACTTCAGGAAGTTGTTTACAGTCATTTTCCCTATTAACCTAGGAAGAAAAGACTTAATGGCAGAGACCATTACCATCACTATACTGTTAGCACTTATTAAATGCTTACCATGTGCCATGTACTGTCCAAAACACTTCATACATGTGATCTATTTAATCCTCATAACAATCCTATGAGGTTAGGATTACTCACTATCATTATTCATCTTTTTTTTTAATATTTTATTGATTTTTTACAGAGAGGAAGGGAGAGGGATAGAGAGTTAGAAACATCGATGAAAGAGAAACATCGATCAGCTGCCTCCTGCACATCTCCCACTGGGGATATGCCCAAAACGAAGGCACATGCCCTTGACCGGAATCGAACCCAGGACCCTTCAGTCCGCAGGCCGACGCTCTATCCACTGAGCCAAACCGGTTTCGGCACATTATTCATCTTTTAATCTCAACATTTCTAAGTAACAAAATATAAACAAAGAAATAAAACAGTAAATGATAAATAATGAGAGGGGTATCTCAAAAGAAGGAAAGCAGGAAGAAAGCAAAGAGGTTATATGTATCTCTCCATACATACACACACACACACACACACACACACACACACACACGTATATATACATATATATCTATATATACCTAATAGATATAATCTGGTCTTTATACTTTATTGCTACAGAGGGCAGAGCATTGACCTATCCTTCAACTCAAGAGAGTAATTTTATGACAAATACAAGGACAACGGGACTGACTGCGTTAACAAAACAGGATGCAGGGCTTGGACAGAGACTGAACTGTAATGAATGCACAGATATTGCTGAAGGGATCTTTGTAATTAAATGACAGTCTTTGGAATTACTCTTCAAAATAACATTCCATGCAGCTTTCTTTGCCAACAATCTCTAAACTTTCTCAAATGCTCCAAGCTTTCAGTTATAAAATACTCTTGGCATTTCATTCTACAGCAATAGCTTTAGGCAGCGAAGTTATGCACTAGTAACACTCATCTCCAAATCTAAAGCTGAATAGAATTTAATTTTTAAGTTGGACTTAACATAACCTTAAACACTTAACATATTTTAAACACTTCCTATAAGATATCCTATATAGAGGTTAAAAACATTCATTAAATCATTTTTCTTGAAATATTAATATTTATTGCATGTAACATTATATTTTAAATTGTTTTTCTTGAAAATTATAAAAAAAACATTCACTAGCATCTAAAATTAAAACCTCTTATTCACCTTTGATTTGGAGGCCTGAAGGATGTAATTAAAGCACAACTCTGCTACCTGAAATGCTGGCAGTGGGCAAAGGAGAGTATGGCTCGAAATTCCTTAATTTTTTAACAAATCTTTCCAGAATAATTTCTAAAACAAGACTTAAGTGGCATGCACTGTAGATCTGAAACATTTGCTTTTGTTTTTTTAAAAAATGAATTACTCATTAGTATGATTGTAAACTGGTGCCTCTAGATGTTGTAATAGAGTGAAGAAAAAGCCAAGGTCTCAGGTACTCATGGACCTGATATAAAAAGACAAGTCACAGAAACAGACGTGGTCAATAAACGTATGAAAAGATATACAGTTAACCTCTGAACAGGGGGCACCTATCCACCCCCACACAGTGGAAATTTCATGTATACTTTTTGACTCCCAAAAAACTTAACTATAATAGCCTACTAATGACTAGAAGGAAACCTTACTGATAACATAAACAGTCAATTGACACATATCTTGAATAAGCATTTTATACTGTATTCTTACAATAAAGTAAGCTAGAGAAAAGAAAATGTTATTAAGAAAATCATAAAGAGAAAATACATTTGCCACACTGTACTGTATTTATCAATATCAAAAGTTTATGATGTCTTTTTACTAGATGAATCGTGTCAATACCTACATCAATATTGTCTTATATAATAAATATAAAACACTGCAGATGTTAAACATATTACTAAAACTAAACATCCAAAAATGAAAAGGTAATGTGAAAACGAAATTCATATTTATTTAGAAGTATAACAATTCATGCATTGGTAATGAAGAAGCATCAATCTGGTACCCTAGGATAATCAATATGATTGCTTCACAGCAGTAAGGAAATCTCCAAAAATTTTTCCAATATATTTATTGCAAAAAATCCACATATAAGTGGGCCCACACAGTTCAAACCCATGTTGTTCAAGTGTCAACTGTATAATCATAATTATAGATAAGCACGCCAAAACAAACATTCTACCTTATGGCAGACTGCCGTTTCCAAATGGCTGCACCAATACTTCCCATCCCACATATTCTCTTACAAGTGATGTTGCCACTTCTCCATTACAAAGTGGGGGTCTATGTTCCATCTCCCTTAAACTTGGGCAGGCCTGTGACAGTGGTAAAAATGATGCTAGGTGGCTTCTGAGGCTAAATCATATAATCACCTTGTCCTCTTATAGGATGCTCTTCCTTGGAATTCAGTCACCCTGCTACGAGGCTGCCAAGCAGCCAGATGGAAAGGATTTCCGTGGTGTTCTCCTCAGCCCCAGATGAGATCCCAGCTAAAGCAGACATATGACCATTTCAGTCCCCAGCCTTTGACACTCAGGAATGAATGACATCAAGTAAAGCACAGAAAAGTTGTCCCCACCAAGCCCAAACTGACCTGAATATTTGTGAGCAAAATAAATAATGATGTTGTTTTAAGCCACTAAATTCTTTGTTACTCAGCAACAGAAAATGAAGAGACCTATCTGATTAAAGAGTCAAACTATTTTATCTCGGTCAAGGTCTATATGAGTAAGGAAAACAATGTTGGGAGAAATATAAAAAGATCCAATTTGATGGGAGGGCAATTTAGCAATAATTATCAAACTTTAAATTGCATATAATATTTGACCAAGCAATTCCCTAAGTCACAAAAATGTGCACAAATATGCTAATTCCGATATTGGCTATAAAAGCAAAAAATAAATAACCACTCTTAAATTGTGGTACACACATACAAAGGAAAACTAACTATATAACCATTTTTTTAAAAGTGCCAATACAGAAAAACAAGAGAGCAAGAAATTTTAAATGTTCATGTAAAGAAATATACTTTGTATCCTGAATGATGTAGATCAAGAGTTGGCCAACTTGTTTCATAAAAGGTCAAAGAGTAAAGACTTCCCCTTTTCAGGGCACATCCTGTCTCTGCACATTCTTAGTGTTTATGTTTGTTTACAATCCTTTAACAATGTAAAAACCTTTCTTACCTCATCAGTTGTTATAAAAAACAGTGACTGTTTGCTGACCCTAATGTAGATAATCACAAATATTATGAGACTAGAGGCCCGGTACGTGAATTCATGTACCAGTGGGGTTCCTCGGCCTGGCCTGCGGGATCAGACCGAAAC